AATAACCTAGGTATGGTGGATTAACTAATGGTCAACTTGTAACACCCAGCTGGACTCATTCAGTGTGGTTCTGGATGTCAAAAAGGCCACCTCTGGATTGTTGCCAACAGCATAAAAAGGAAAACTGGAGAAGATAGTGTGCTATTGATTCTCCTGAACAAGCTTGTCCCACTGATTTTCCTGATATGAACTCAGCTGTTCTCACTGCCAGAAGAGCTCAGGTCCTCATTGTTGCTGAGGGTGGCTGTGGGCTCTAGGTGTACAGCCTGACCATGCAGAACACTGCTGTGGGATCCAGACCCTCAGCTGGATATTGTGGGTCTCTAGTGTATGAGACACATCTCCCACACTCTTTTGCATTTGACTCAGGTGAATATTATAAAATAATCCTCTAAATTATGTGTCCTGTATTAAATCTTTTCCCTTAAAATCCCTGACAACAGCACTGGGAAAACAAAAGAATAGTAATAATGGCTAGGGTAATAAATGGGAAGAAAAAAAGAAAAATTAAGTAAAAAGGAAAGACTAAAAAGATTTTTAAAAATATGATATTTTCACACCAAGAAAAGAAAGTGAAGGAAGACTTGAGAAGTTATGTGCAGGATGGAAAGAAAAAATATAAATGGAAAGTGAGAAAAAGTATAGGGTGGCTGGATTCAATTAATAAACTAGAAGAAATGAAGATTCAAGACATGACTCTTGATGGAGAACCTGACCAATGGGCATCTGAGTTGAATACACACTTCTCAGATGTAGAGATACAAATGGCAAAGAAATACATGAAAAATGTTTAACATCATTGGTCATTCAAGAGATGCAAATTCAAACAACACTGAGATTTCATCTCACCCCAATAAGAATGGCTTCCATCAAGAAATCAACGAACAACACATGCTGGAGGGGCTGTGGGAAAAAACGAATCCTTCTCCACTGTTGGTGGTAATGCATACTGGTGCAACCACTTTGGAAATCAGTCTGGAGAGTCTTCAAATAACTAGGATTAGAGGTCCCATTTAACTCAGCTATTTCTTCTGGGTATTTTCCTGGAAGAGTTAAAAGCATCATACCATGGTGATATGTGCACCATGTTTATAGCAGCACAATTTGTCACAACAAAATCTTGGAAACACCCAAATGTCCATCAATTAAGGAATGGATAAAAAAAGATGCAGCATTTTTATATAACAGAGTATTACTCAGCTATAAAGCATAAAGTTGAGACAGTTATAGGGAAATGGATGTGACTTGAGTCCGTACTTATGGGATAAATCAGTCTGACATGTGTAAACATCATGTTATCTCCCTAGTGTAAAAACCTGAAAAAGTAAATAAGACCCAAAATGTACAACAGATACTGTGAAATGGGGAGAAAATGCTCAAAAGGAAAGAAACTGGAATGGGGGAAAGGAGAAAAGGGAAAAGGAAAAAAATATAAAATTAGTTAAGAGATACTAATTGCCATTAGCTCATTGAAAGGAAAGGTATACGCTTATGTATTTTGATCAACTTTTCATGTCTGCATTTTGTTAATATGAGCAACTACTTTGAAGATAACAATTATACAATGTATTAATCATTACTCTTCTACAATCTTGTTTTCAAATTTCATACCATTGTTTTTATTTTCTTTAAAATAAAAAAGTAAAACCTATGTAAAACTATAGAAACACAATGACAACTTAACACTTAAAGTTCCATATACACACATGCTCCACCTATGCACTCTGAAAAAGAAAGGGGGAAAGGTTAATGATATCTATGTACAAATAAAGAGGGGAGGGAGATTTCAGTGGGTGTGTGAGGGGAAGAAAAGAAAGATGTGGAAAATATAAATGTAAAGGACACAGGGCAATTGAATACAAATAAGAAAGTAACAGGAAATCTAACTTAGGAAATCCTGCAAAATAGCCCTTCTTGTGGGAGACCATAATGTGTCATGGTAAGATACTATAGAAGTAAAAGCAGTAGCTAGAACTCATAAACTTATACACATACACCTCTCCAGGGTTAACTAACAGGAACAGCTTAAAAATTGAAAAAGAAATCAGTCCAAATTAGGTCTTGTAGAGCTTACAGGAGACTGAGCTTTACTTCTCTGAGGTTCAGGGTGGGAAACTTAGTAGGCTGGGAAGTGGCTGAATTACATTCCACTTCTCTCCCTGGGAGTAAGGAGATCAGAAAATCCAGACTTTCTTTCTGTTCTGCCACTTGTGTAATCCATGGGCAGGTCTACACCATGGGCCAGTATTCCAAAAATTTCCAGGTTGTACTGCTAGATGTGTCGCTGGCTAGTATCTGCACAATTCTGTCTTCAGTCTGAGGACAGACAAAATGGGGGATGCGTACACAGGGACTGTGTTAGCTTTCAGGACCACTGGTATTCTGCCTTCCACAAGTTCCTGCTGAGGAGCACTCAGATCCAGACCCTCTCACACCACAAAACATTATTTGATTCAATTCACTTCCTGCCACTACATTTAAACTTGTCTCATAACGTATACTACCAGAATTCTAGCGTTGGCTGAGTCCGGTCTCCCACAAACTGGTAGATGGTGACTTCTGATCTCATGATTATAGCTTTACCATGTCAATTACCTTTTTTCTAGGCCCACTCTAATTACTATGGAAAGTAGCTACTTTCTTCCTGTAGCAGTCACTTTCATCTTGTTCTGAAAAATGTCAGAATTTTCTGCATCTATTCAGAGTTGCTCAAGATGGCTTCCTGCTCTTCTACAGCCCAAGATCACTTCCTGTTTGTCATACTGAGGGAAGGGTGTGGGGAGCTACTAAGATGGTTTTCCAGTCCAACCCAGTCTAAATGGAAAATTTCACACCTGTCTCTGTTCATTTGGCTATAGTGCCATCTCTTCTGCTTGGACTACAGCAAAACCAGTTCTCATATATGTTGTTACTCCTTTTACCACTACATGGAAGGGAAAAATCTTCCTCCCATCTGCGATACCACTCATTCAGTGCTGGAATATGTTGCTTCAGTTTACTTTCCTAATTACCAATTTTTAGTTTCCCTCAGCTACTCTTACAATGTAGTCCTGTAATTTCCTGTGTATTCCTTGCTTCTCACAGAGCCATGTACCTACTGCTTTGGATTAAGATTCTGGAACAATTTGGGTACACACCTCCTGTAGCTCACCGTTTTAAATCTATGATCCAATTTTAAAGTCTAGACAGAGGTGAATATTTTGATCCTAAACAATTAGATGAGATCATCACCTGAGTATAGATGTAAAATAAAAAGATGTAACAGAAGTAATTCCAGTATTAGGAGACTATGGAGAAGGAACAAATTAGCCAGACAGATTGAGAAAAACGTCAATGAAATGTTAAGAAAACAATGAGAATAATAATGTATCCTGGAAAGAATATATTTCAATAGTGACAGAGTGATCAAATCTACTGAGAAAGTAAGATGAAGACTTAGCTGTTAGATTTAGAAATATAATGTATACTGACAAACTTAACTAGACCAGCTTTAGTCTCTTCCTCCCTTTTTCTCCCTGGCCACGGGGTGAGCAGTTTGCTCTGCTATGTGTTCCCCACCACGATGTGCTACCTGACCACAAGCCCAAGAACAGAACCAATCAACCATGAGCCAAAGCCTCAAGAACTGAGCCAAAATAAATCTATTTCTAAGTTAATTCTCTCAGGTACACATCACAGCAATGGAAAGCTAATATATATGGTATCTTAATCTTTTAGGGGGATTATATATTTGAGTTTACATGAACTACTAGTTCAGTTTACATCTTTAACATTAAATTATATCTCACATCTTTGTCAAGCTAGTGTTTTGGAAATTGCTTTCATAAAATGTACTGTACTAATTAGTGTAGAACAGAAATTGAGGGTGGCAGTGTGTAATTTGATTCCAAAGTCTACATGGTGAGGAGTATCCCAACTGCTACACTACTGTAAAGGTTTGAAGATGAAATAGTAATATTTTTCTTCAATTTCTATGTCAAGAAGATAGAATTGAACAGAAGGAGACCATTTATAAGGCTACTGATAACCTATTCCAGCACTAATCTTTGCACTAAGGATAAAAATTGGTCAGACTTGGAGTATTTTGAAACCAGAACCTACCAATTTTTATTGGGAGTTGGATTTAGAGAAAGGAAACAAGTATGACAAGTTTTTGAGCCAGAGTAACTGGTGCAATGAAGATGTCATTAGCTAAAATGGGGATACTGGTAGGTAAAGGAAGTTTGGGGAAAGAGCATTATTTGCATTTGGGTAAGCTTGAGGTATTTATTGAGACACCTAAGAGAGAGTTAAATAGGCACCTTGCTATACAAACGTGGAACCTAATTGACATATTTGAAAATAGAAAGATGCAACTTGTCAACATGCAGCATTTAAACCATTAATCTAGATGACGCCACCAAAAGAGTGAGTAGAAACAGAGGCAAATGGAAGCCCTGAGAATGAGAATGAGCTGAATAATGAAGTCGAAGTATAGTCTTCTGGAGGCAAAAGTATATCAAAGAAAGGACAATTGGCTGGTGTTTGTAAAAACAAAACAAAAAAACCAATGCATTTTATAAAATGTATTAAATGGAAAAATATTTCTAGGGTGCAACAGCCAGATAAAATGCATAGTCCTCAATGTGACAGTGTTTTAGAGAAAACTGCTGCAAAACATATTCTGGGGTCAAACTGCTAAACTTGGCATCAATATTAGAAGAGATGAAAGTTTATTCAAACAAAGAGATCAAGACTGTTGACTTTAAAAGTTGGATACAAGGGGCTGGGGACTTAGCTCAGCGGCAAAGTTCCTGCCTGGCAAGTGCAAGGTTGTGAGTTCGATTCCTCACAAGAAGAAAAACAAAAAACAGAACACAAAAGTTGGATACAAAAGAGCATATATAGGAACCTTATTCTGATAATACACACACATATAAATATATACAGGGAGAAGTACTTTTAAAGATCAGAAAGGATATCCATTAAAGACATGTGATAAATTCTCAATGCTGGAAGTGTGACATTTTAATTTTAGTGTGATATTTTAATTTTTAGTATTTTAGTTTGCTATATTTTCTAATTTTCTACAAACACATACATTACTTCTGTAGTTTTTATACATTTATGAAAGGAAATGACAATTTGTGGAATCATGTTCTACCGATAAACTATGAAGTTAACCTAGGGATACAGTAACATGGAAATCACTGGTGACTTTGACAAGATGTGTTTCAGTGAAGTTGGGGGAGCAAAACTTGACTGAATAGTTTAGCAGTGCCTCAAATGATAAACATAAGAGTTATTGTGTGACTCAATTATTAAATTCCTTGTTATATACCCAAGAGAACTGAAAACATATTTACACTACAATTTGTACATTAATGTTCATAGAAATATTTTAAATAGCTCAAAAACGAAACAACCCAAATACCTGTAACAGATGAACAAATACTCACTTTTTCCGTGAGTTCCACAACAAACACTGCATCAAAAATTTTGGAAAATAATTACATCTGCACTGAATATATTCTTTCCTTATTATTTTGTATACAAGACAGTATAATTATCTATGTAGAATTTACATTGTATTAGGTATTACAAGCAACCTATAAATTATTTAAATTATCCAGGAGGATGTAACATATGCAAATACTATGCCATTTTACAAAAAGGACTTAACATCCATGGATTTTGGTATCCTTGGGGTTTCTGTAACCAATCTGCCACAGATACTAGGGGATGACTGTGTATCAGTACAGTGAAATATTATTTGGCAATAAATAATGAAGTACCAATATATGCTACGATATAACAAACCTTGAAAATATTAAGTGGAAAAAAGTTTCTAAAGTGAATATATAATTTCATGTATACAAAATGTTCACCATAAGTAATTCTACCTAAACACTGTGTTGCTTAGATGGGGGAGTGGGGAATGAGGTGATTGCTAATGGGCATGAGTTTTGAGGATGTTGAAAATGTTCTGAAGTATTGATAAAGGCACAGCTTTGAATAAAACCACTTTGCAAGGGTGAACTTTATAGTATGTGGATTATATCTCAATAAAGCTGCTACTAAAAAGAAAAGAACCTAGTTGGCTGAGTTAACTCCTGTTGAGTATGTTCTGGTTTACTATTTTTATTGCCATTATATAGTTATTTTAAGGTGTACTGTTTCCAGGACTTGCTAATCATTTTAATAACTTTACTGTCTTCCCCCTTCTTAATCCCTGGGCCCACACTAGTCTCATAATCTCTCCCAAATCAAAGATTAACCAGAAAGAAAAACGTATGACTCTCCTAAGGAAAGTATACAGGTTAGTAAGTGTTCAATGTGACAAGTGTTCAGATCTACTTTTCACACTATTTAACATGTACACGTATACAGCAAAAAGGAAAAGGAGAAAGAACTGCTGCCCAATAATATATCACTTTAAGCCAATAATACATCAAACACTCAAACAGCCTGAATTCCAAATACTGTTTTTGATTTACAAAATAAGTTTGTACAATTATAAAATAAGTATCCTTCATACTTGAGAAATATTTCAACATCTGGACAATGCTCCTGTAATATATTTTCTTTCATAAAATTTTTAAAAACTTAACAATGGTAAATAGAAGGTAATGTCATTTTTATGGGTAAGGAGACCATCAGTAGATACACAAACTCAATCGTAAAGTTATGTTTACAGCTCATTTCTTCTCTTGAATTGCAAAATTTCAACAGTATATATTAACTACCACTGGAACAACATATGAGAAATTCAGCTAAAGATACAGTAATAAAAACCCTGTACAAATACCCAAACTTGGGGAGTTTCAGTTATGACAATAGAAAAATAATTTCCTTCCAAAAAACGTATCTAAAGACAATGGTTTAGGTATCTCATCTATATCATTCACATGTCATGTGAATCAAGCTTTTCTGTATTCCTTAAATAAAATTTTATAATCAGCTGACAAAAAAGCAAGTCTCATATTCAAAAACATTTTAATGCACCTATAGTTAACTTACAGTAGTCCCTCTTTATAGTTTTGTTTTCCATGGTGTCCAAAATACTAAATGGAGAGCTCTAAGAAGAAATAGTTTATAGGTTTGAGTTGTATGTCAATTCTGAGTAGTGCAATGCAATCTTATACTGTCCTGCTCAAAACACAAATCATCCCTTTGTCCAGGGTGTCCATAGTGGTATTTAAGTAGCTGTCTTCAGTATGGGAGTGGCTGTCAAGGAACTGCAGAGTTCAATACTATCTTCGGTTTCAGACATCCACTGGAATCATGGAATGTATCCCTGGCAGATATGAAGGGAGTACTGTATTAATAAAAAAGGCCTATTTAAAAAGTGATTTCATTTCAAGTCTTTAAGTACAGGACATTTTGTTATTTTTGTTGCATCTTCTTACGCATTTCTTCAAGAGCTGCTTCTTTCTCTCTCAGCACCTGTTTAAGTCTTCTTATTTTTTCATCTCGGATGGTTTCTTCTAGTTCTGGTGGTGTCACTGGGAAAATATCTTCAGTATAATTTTTACTAAAGGAATCACTTTGTTCAAAAATTACATTTGATTTCAATGCACCTTTCTCCTGCTGTTCTTGGGAACAGTGTGCTTTATCGGTTCTCTTTTCTTCTCTGGTTTTGCTATGGCTTGGGAGAATGTTATGTTGTGGTGTATCTGAAGTTGGTAAAACACTGCTAGCGGGTTCAGAAGTGGGGACATTTGTTTCCCCATTTGTGACTGTGTTAACAGCACTCTCCACTTTTCTCTTCTTTGTGTGATCCATCTTCTTACTGGTTTTTGCTTTTCTTTTCTTACCACAACTCTGTTGCAATGTGGAATAAGATTTTAAAAAGTTATTGTTAAGAACTATTTTTATATTTTAAAAAGTTATTATGTTTACATATAATATACTGTACTCTCACACTTAATGAAATGTATAGATACACATATTTAGCTATTAAACTGAACTCAGTCAAACTTCCTGAAGATAACTATAGCATGAAATAAACAGGTCTTACTGGGTGGTACCACTGGGTGGTACCTAATTACAGTCTCTGAGAATAATCTGCTTATTTCACTGTTTCATTCAACTGCTCAAATCACATATTACAAGCCACACTGACATATCACCAAAACATAACAGCACTTGTGAAATACTTGTGAAATAAAATTGATTTTTTTTCTTTTCTTTGCAGAATGGGTACATGTGGAAGTTTTTCACTTGGAGAGGTTGAAGTTTGGAATACTAGATCATAATGATACATTCATTCATAAATATATTAACAGTAGGTAAAGTTATTGAGCTATTTCTTTCCATTACTAATGGCCACATATGTTGCTTAAAACGTGAGTTAATACTGCAATCTGCCAGGTTATATGTACTACCATATTTGAATTATTTCCTTTACATAAAGTCTCCAAAGTAGTATAACTAATTAAAATACTATAGCCACTTTTACTACAATGGAAAGAAAAAACAGTAGGTGAACAACAACTTTAAATCTTAAATGGGGATGAATTTTTGTCTGTGCATGTATTGTTTTTTTAAACACTGTTTTGGTATATGTATTCATAAACTTGGTAATAACCATCATTCAGCTACACAAGACTGAAAAGCAAATCAATAAAATCGATATACCCATCTATCTTTGCAGTACCTACACAGGACGCTTTAAAACCTGTTCTTACCAGGGGCTGGGGATGTAGCTCAGCGGCACAGCGCCTGCCCCGCAAGCGCAAGGTCATGAGTTCGATTCCCGGTACCAGGAAAAAAAAAAAAGAAAACCTGTTATTACCTGTTTCTTTTCCTCTTCCTTCACCACAAACTCTGTCTCTCTGTATGTACCGCTCTTCACCAAACTGCTGAAGTAATCAAAACCTTTTCCACAGTGCAAACGGTCAGGAATTCGAGTAAGGCAAACTCTCAAATCTTTAGTGAGACCAAATATCTTTATAAATTCAGCATCACTCTTCAAACATGATGGCTTATTAGTGCTTTCTTGAGACTCCTTCACGCCCTTGCTTTGTTGAGCACGGTTTTCTAATGCTGATGCCATTGCATTCTGGATCTGGAATTAAGAAAAGAAAACACAAACAATGCTGCTAATTACTCATTTTTCAGACTGACAACAAAGTGACTATTTAATCTCCTATGAGAACACATCATGCTGTAAGGGTTTCCATTACTTTTACCGTACCACGCACATCAAAAACTGAATTTAGCTGATTACAAATTAAACATTCCTCTACAATTTCTCATTTAATTTGCTGTACAAAAACAGTAACAGGTATCCATTCTCAAGCAATTGAAATGAGAAGACACTAATGGCAAGTTAATAGTAATGTACATAGCACTCTAGATACTAGCTGCCTAGAAAAGTCATGTCTTTAATGAATCTCGTACTTATCAGAATTTACCTCCCTACATCTCTGAAGCTCAATAAATTCTGTACTGAAGAGGAGAAATACCAACGTTATTAAGTAGACTTTTACATAAGCAAAGAAAAGGTGAGTACAAGTATTTACTAAGCACATGAACATATAACTTCAGAACAGAAATGTACTATATATATTGCTAGTGGGTATGTTGAGTAGTGGGAGGAATTAGGAGAAAAACTGCCTATAAAAACAGTAACAAAAAGCAACAAAATGCTACCAAAATGGTGATAAAATCCTATTTCCACAAATGACTAAAAGGTATTGCTAGACCTCTTCTACTATTTTCATTGTGCCTAAAAAAAAATTGAGCGTCTCCTCACCAACATCACAAAAATCGAAAATAAAACCCCAGCCCTCCTATATGCATACTGATCTCCTCCCATTCTAAATATATATATACATATATATCTATACACATACACACAATTTTAATGTTTTTGAAGTATATTATTGTTCCCTAACTCCCTTATCCTTGTTCTGTGATTCTTGTTTAATTCTGTATTAAAGATTTGCAAGCCAAATGATTCACGAAAAAGATACTGCTTAGACTCTCAATTATATTCCTCAAGTATTTACTAAGATGATAGCTTTGATTTAATTATGCACATGATGATGTAAGGGAGGAGGGAGACAGGTATCATAGACAAGTCTGAGAATTAAGAAAGGAAAAAATTTCTATATAGATACATAAAAATATCCTGACATTGAAAAATTACCTTTGGTTCTTGGTCTCTGAAAACACACTGTTGTGAAGTAACAGCTGTTGCATCAACAGAGGAACTTATTTTCTCTATGCTCTGGATGATATTTCTTTTTCTTGGGGCAGTCTGTCTACTAAATCCATCTGGAAAGAGTGGCTTTGTGAATAAAGTCTTACTCTGGTTTGGGTAGTTACTGGTTTGGTTCATATTATTTGGGTTTGTGGTAGAAAGAGGTGGTTTCTCCACTTTTTTATTCTTCTCTGAACTTATATTGACCATGGAAGAAGGCTGGGTATTTGTAAGTGATTTTATCTCCATCTGGAAAGATTTACTTTTAGCTAGAACAATATTTACAACCTCTCTGGATATTTCTGTGACTGGACTTGAACTCACTACCTGTGATGTGTCTTTTCTTAGGGAAGTATCAACAGAAACAGAATTTTGTTGATCAATTTGTGATGGCAGAGCATCTGTCCCCTTTTTAGCCAACAGGTAGACTTTCCCATTAAACATAACCAATGCATTATCTTTTAAAGGCACATTTACAGATTGTGTCCCTTTAGGGCCAACAGTACTCAATGGTGGCATACTTAAAGTATTATCTCCCAAACTTTTCCCATCTACAAAACTCTTTAAAATTTTTGATGCCACATTATTTGAAGATTTAACAGGAACACGAGATGGAGTACAAGGTTGTAGATTTTCTTGAAAAATCCATTTCACTGGAGTAGCTTGAGAATGCTGACCACCTTTTAATTGTGTCTCTGTAGCAACTTTTGCTGGAATTTGTGTGGTATTTAGTATCATTGGTTTTGGTATTTCTCTAACAGGTTTTGGATAAATATTTTGAAAGTTCTTGATAACTACATTTTTCACTGTTTTTACAGGAGATACATAAATAACTGTTGGCATTTGGGAGGCCTCAACTGTTCCTGAGGTACTTGTGGTTGCAGTTGCAAGTATCTTTTGCTGAACTGAAGGAGGCAATGATGATGCAGGTATAGATTTCACTTCAGCATGGGCTGGAATCTGTAAATGATGCCCAGAAGGCAAAACTGGAGATTTCACAGTCATTGGAAGACTTGGGGGATTGAATACAATGTAAGATGAATCACTTTGTGTTGAGGGAGGAACAGCAAATGTTTTCATGGTGAGTCCATCAATTTTCACACCATGACTCTTAACTTTAGAAAATGATGAAACAAAATTTTCAGTTCCCACAGAAGTAACTCTACCTTTTTCTGCTGTATTTACTGTTCTTGTAAGAAAATAGTTTGAAGAATTGGCTGGCTGTAAAATGGGCAATTGAACTGATGCACTTGTGGAGGAGCTGGAAATTTGAGTCTGAAAAGTAACTTGCACTGGTTTTCCTGTGTTCCCTCTCAAAGCATCAGACATGACTGGAGATTGAACTAGCGGAACAAGATTTCCAGAAGAATTAGGAATTGGAAGTAACTGCAGAAGATTTTTTCCATCCGAGCCAATCGTCTGAACTACTTGGTACATGCAGCCTGAAACACTTAAAAGAACATTTTGAGTAAATAAATATAGCATTCTACATGGTATATACATTTTATTTTGAAATTAATATTTGCAAATATTACCTTAAATATTAAAATAAAACTATGTAATTTCCTATTTTCAGTGTCAAAGTGAAATATCGTAAACCAAAGTTTCTGAAGAAGAAATAAAGATATAGTCAGCTCTGGTTTAGACCTCCTCACAGAATTAGGTAGTAAGTATGAGATATTAACATTTATTTCTACCTATTAGATGTATTTTTAAAGCTCTCAAGTAGTAATAACAAAATATCATATTGAATTTTAGTAAATTAAATCTCTAAATGCAAAGAAAAAGATGTCTAATTTCTTGCTTTCAGGGCTTGAAGAAAAGGCACTCTTTGATTACCTGACTCCTGGCGAAACCAAACCAAACCAAACCAAACCAAACCAAACCAACACACACACACACACACACACATGCGCGCACACGCGCAAACAGGTAAGAATTTATCCAACATTAATTCATTAAATGAAAATATACTGAGTGTTATGGTTCAGGCATCAGGCTGAGTTAGAGGAAACAGGTATGAAAACCATAGCCTGTGTGGGCCAAATCTTGCTCTACTCTGTTACTGTGCAACCTACATGCTAAGTATAGGCTTTATACTGTACATAAATGAAAAAATCAAAAGGACATTTTGTGACATGAAAATTATATGTGATTTAAATTTCAGTATCTATAAACTTTATTACTCAGTCACACTCACTTTTTAATATTTTGTATATGGGTGCTTTCAAGCTACAGCAGTAGGGTTGAGAAGTCACAGCAGATATCACATGATTCTCAAAGGCTAATATATCTACAGTCCGGCCCTTTACAGAAAACGTTTGCTACATTTTCAACTACATCAACCCATAATCCCTAAAAATTACTGAGTACACAGGAATGTGTAAGCAATTATCATTAAGTGAGATAAATGATGATGCATTTGATGCAGTACAAAATGTTTGCTTCTTTTCTTCTTTTTGCCAAGACTGTCAGTCGTCTTCACTAATTCATCCTACTTGAAGAACAGAACTCTTGCTATTCTGTACTCTTTAACAGTTTCTTCTATAAAAATGAATTAATTAAATGATCACTTGTATATCAGCAATGTCAGTATTTGTATGTATAGAGACACTGAAATTCAGAATTATGTATCTAAAGGTCTCCTTTAATACTTCCTATAAGAATCATAAGGGCTCCTGAAACTCCATACAGGCAGAATAGCTCTGTTCACAAATCCTCGAAATTCTTGGACTTCTCATCTATCATAGTTCCTAAGTCAGAGCTCACAAATCCTTCCTCAATCCCTACATCCAACCTAGCAAAAACTTTTGTTGATATTACTGCTTAAACTTCTCTTGTTTTGCCTTTAGTCCAGGCAAATATCATTTCTGACTCACACTATTCTGGTTTCATAATTGATCTTTTTCTTTCAGTCATATGTATCTCCTTTTCTTTTAGGTTCATTTAGCACACCAAAATTGGTCCTTCCCTACTTAAAACATTTCAATGACTTCCCTTTATATTTAGAATGACAGAAGGAAAATCATTGCTCCTGATTCAACAGAAGCCAGTGGGGTTTTAAGAAAACTGAGCAATTTCACTAACAGTCTGTGAGAGGCAAATTGGGATGATTAAAAATGTACACTGGAAATAATGGTATTGGAATCACTGATGGTTTTAATAAGAGTAGATCAATGGAGAAAGACATTGCTGAGGAGTAGATAGCAAGTGGTTAACTTTTAAGAATTCAATATAAAGAGGGAAAGATAGGCAAGCACAATACCTACAGGAGAAATAGGATCAAAGGAATCCTTCTTATTTAATTTAATTTATTTATTTTCAGTATTTTGAGACAGGGTCTCACTATGTAGTTCAGGCAGCCCTTGAACTCAGTATGTAGCCCAGGCTGGCCTCAAACCCAGCATGATCCTCCTGCCCAAGCTTTCAAGCGCTAGGATTACAGGCATGCACCAATATGCCCAATGGTCTTTTTTTAAGATCAGATGAACCAAGACATAAGTAAATGCTCATGTAAGCCAGTTAAAAGAAAGAAATTGCTAATTAAGGAGCAAGAGGGATGATCAGCACCAATGAGAAGGAGGTAGAAAATGGGAGCCACAAAACAGGTGGAAGGACTGAATCTTAAGGAAAGCTGAAGAAGTAGCTCCTTCCATTGGAAATGAAGGATGAGATACATGCATTTGCAGGTAAGTATAAATCTCTGCTGTCAGAAAATTGTAATTGTGATCTAATGACCCTTATTTTTGTATGAAAAGGGTATGATACCACCTACCAAGAATAAAAGCAAACACAGGGAGAGGTCTGATGAGAATTGAAAATTTTAAACCCTCTTTGTGAGAGTAAGATGGCCCCAGAAAAAATTAAGAGTTACCAAGTAGTAGTAATCGCCAATGAGACAGGTAGGGATTGTGAATTTATCATATCATCAATCAGTGCTCTTATGAGATTTTCTTTCTCTCACTAGACATAAGAAAAGACATCATATTGCAGAGTTTATCCAGAATTTAGATGGTTTCCAGAGGGTGCAATAAAAATCAAAGAGGAGAAACAGACATTAGGGTATCAGTAAGAATTATTAAAATAATGAAACGTAGAATCTAAACTAGATAGGAAGGAAATGAGAATAAAATGCTAAAGTGCGAAGATTAAAGGGGTTATTGAACAAGTAAGTTAAAATACAGTACATAGGCTGGTGGACTGAGCAACTTCATTGAAGATAACAGTAGGTAATGCAGCAACCATTGTTAATTTCTATCATGTTGTTTTGAGGTCATGTATTGTTTTTGTTGTTTTTGTGTTGTTTTGATTTTGTCTTCGTTGTTTTGTTAGTTTATTTTTAAAATAAAAAATTTAAAAAGTACAGTACATAGGGAAGGCTGAGAATGTAGCTCAGAAGTAGAGCATGTGCTTAGTATGTGAAAAGCCTTGGATTAAATCCCCAGGACCAAAAGAAAAAAGTAGTATGAATATTTAAGCAAGAAAGTTAGAAATCTAGGAACTAGCATTTAGAAATTAGGATACTTGAATAGATAATTTTGCAGGCTCAGCAATTTCATCTGCTAACAAGGACTACAGAAGTGGATGGCTGCAACAGAATGAAAAATAAGATCACTGGTGAAAGAAATCTTTGTACTCAAAGACCAGATAAGAAAAAGATTATTCACATAGATGTCTACATATGCAATCTTAGAAAAATAATTGTGAGTTACAGGCCAAGTTCAGTGATGGCAAGTTGGTAGATAGTGTTAACAAACCACAGTTAAAAACTCATAATCCAAAAGCTGTCTTGAAGCCAACTCTTTTGCAGTTTATTTGCTATCCTATAATTCTACCAAAACCTCTATTTTAGATTACATTCTCAGGTTCAAATCTTTCTTGATCCCCACTCCTACATGGTCTCAGTTGTAATCAACATTGCTAGCTAATTATCCCTTCCAACTGGAATTCTTTCTCTTCCATGGTTTTCATTACGTATAATTTCCTCTCACTTTCATAATGCTCCCTTTCTCATTTATTTTCTGCATTTTAATTATTCACATGGCTACAGTCCAAGGTATTTTTTGATTCAGTTTTTCTCCTTTAAGACATTCTTCTTTAATGATGGGACCAATTTTCATGATTTCAACTATTTCCTTTTAGTAGCTCCTTTGCAATAATGATGCCTATAATTATATCCTTTTATTTCTGTCCCCAATATTGATCAATATTGTGATGCCTTACCAAACATTTTCATTTAATACATTACTTTAAATTCAACAAATTAAAATTATTCTATATGAAAAACTACTGCAATACCTTACCATGCACCCATGTGGTGAACTGTTTTCCAGATGATATAGGTTGTAAATCACCTAGTCATCTCTGTCTTATATTTACCATCCTTCTAATTTACTTTTGATTCACCCATAACACTCTGTATACGTGCTTATAAATGGCATGCAGTCAAGAAATGTATACTGAGTGAATCACCAAATCTATTCTTTTCAACAGATTTTACCCATCTTTCCTTCACCACTGTGACATTCACCATCTAGATCAGCCCTCATCACTTTGTATCTATGACTTTTCATCTCATCCCTGTATTTTGTTCTGATGTTCTGATGCAATCCTTAGATTGCAACTACTATTGATTACTACCTATCTCTGGCACATTAATACTGTTTTCATCCTGTTGCCTTCTAAGGGGTTGGGGATTTAGCTCAGAGGCAAAGTGCTTGCCTGGCATGTGCAAGGTTGTGAGTTCGATTCCCAGTACTGGAAAAAAACCAAAACCAAAAAGAAAACAAAAAAAAAACCCATCCTGTTGCCTTCTTGCTCAGTGTTTCAATATTCATCAGGGGTCAAATTCAGTTTGACATGAACACCATCTACAATGTAGGAGTCCCAATCAATCTTTAAAACAGTAGCATCTACAACTTCTCTACACAAACTCTCTGCTGTTACCAGATAGACTCTTTTGCTATTCTAGAGTATGCCATGTACATCACTTAAGTATTCTTTATAATTTTTTTCTCCAAAAACATAAAATGAGGTTCAAGTTCCATCTTCTACATGAAATACTGACTAGTCACTCAAACTCAGTTTCTTTCAGCTTAGTAATTCCTAAAACACTCCCATAAGTCCTGCTAGTGCTAGAAGTTTTATGTCATCTTTATTGCTTTTTATCCACTAGATGCTTTCAAAATATGAATTAAATATTGTTTTCCCTAGTAAGTGAAACTCCTGAAGGGGAGAAACTACATCAGTGATTTTGCTACTGATTCTCAAATACCAAGCCTAATAAACCATCAAGGAATATCATTTAAACTGGGAGTGGTGGCGCATGCCTGTAACCTTAGCACTAGGGAGGCTGAGGCAGGAGGATCCTCAGGAGTTCAAGGCCAGCCTGGGCTACGAAGTGAGTTCAAGACCAGCCTGAACTGCATAATGAGACCTTGTCTCAAAAAG